AGCGCTGAATGGCTGCGGTTGGAAAAGCCATCCCAGCTCCCCGCCCCGGGCAAGGGAACAGCGGGAGTCAGGCGCGCAGCACGGGCAGGAGGCCTGAGCCACACATCAGCACCACCGTGATGCTCCCCTTCCTGCAAGGGTCTTCCCTCCCYGCTGTTCCAGCTTCGCGTCCGTAAGCGCAACGCTGCTCCGAAGCGGTGTGTTGTCACGGTTAAGGCAGCTGCCTCCCTCGCAGCCAGGGCCCGCAGCAAGGCCTGCGCCGGGGGCGGCTGCGAGCGGTTCAGCGCTGTAGCGGSGACCCCTGCCCTGGGACACCCCCAAACACAGGCCAGGGCAGGACACCTGCGGGCGGGCATTCCAGCAGGGAAAAGCTGCAAGGGAGCCCAAGGGTTTCGCCTGGAGGAGAGAGAGCACCTTTCAAAAGTGCGCAGCACACTGCACATTGAATGATTTGAGGAAAAATTTACATTTTTTTTTTCTTTTGGCAGGATGAGAGACCAGATGGGGACAACTCTGATATTACAGATGTTTGCCTGTTCACACTCCGCTCCTACAGGCTTATGAAGAAGGGGAAAACCAAGAAACAACCAACCCTCCAAAAATCCTAAAATATCTACAGTTTCTCCTAACTTTTCTATCAAAGTAATATTATTTTAACATATTTTGCTACTGGAAAAATTGTAGATAACTTCAGTCATTCATCTTGTCTTCTCTATGCTTTTTTTTTTTTTTTAATGAATGTATGGACGGTGGAGGGAGAGGAGTCAAGTTAAGCTCGCAGGTTTACAATTCCTCATATCTACCTATCCCTTCTTTTCAAAGGTACATCTATTTTCAGTAGTCTAGTACTTCATCTTCTAAATCTTGAGACACTTTCAATAACTCTAAGCCCATTCACAGGATTCAAGGACTGATTTCACCTTGCCTAATTATTTGCAAAGATCTAGGTTCTCTCTAATTCATTCTTTTAAAACTCTAGGCAGTAGACTAATGTTTTGCTCCTTGGTCACAAGCACTACATACACCCATCCTGAGTATGAAGGAATCGAGTAGTCTGCCACCTCCTACATGCTCCCTGTGTTTGGCTTGCAAGTCAATTACGCTTGAAATTCAACTCATTTTCAGCCTTCTGTTATATTTTGTTGTCTTCCACATCTTTCTTTGCTTTTGGTCTGCTCCAAGAGGAAAGATATGATTTAAGGCCAAACAGCAAGTACACGCTACAGGCTTGATTTCTGGTCATTCACTGTGCCAAAAACCAGAAGAAAGGAGAAGAAACCTCAGAAGACCATGGTATGGAGAGCTGTCCAGAAGGGCAACAGCTGGAACATCACCTGACGCTTCTGTATGCCTGGTCAGCAGCTCTGTATCCATTAACAGCTTTCCCAAGGAAGTCTGGGCCTTTGCCAGTGAAATGCTGTGACAAGCAGGGCTACTCCTTGGACCTTTACACCCTAAGCACCGTTGGTAGAAGTGGACACACTTAGCAGGYCCACTGAAGAGCTACTCTGTAACTAGAAAAACATTATTCATATAATTAGATATTAAATGGATAATAATTAGATAATTAAGAGGGGACCTCAGGAGATGATAGTTCCTCCACAGGAAAAGACTTACACTAATACACTAGTATTTTAATAAAGTTACTTGGCCCAGAGATTAGATTTTTTTTCATTTTTTAAATCCTACCCCCCCCAAAAAAAAAAATAAAACTCAAACAAAAAAGACCCCTGATTTTTTTTTTTTTAAGGACAGACTTCTCCTTCATTTACCTGTGTTTTTAAATGAGATATTTCTTTACTTTAGAAGAGGAAAATAAAGAGGTATGATTCTATCTGTTGAATTACTGTTAGCCATCGCTAACAGGGCTGAAGAGCTGAATGTCTTGAACACACAAGTCTTTCAAATAAAAACAGACACTAAAACTGTTTAGAGCAATCAAAACATTAAGCAAACAGAGCCATTAAAATGAGACAGCCAGGGTTCTCTTGAAGATTTTAACATAACTAGGAGAAAGATACTTGTCTCAGCAGTTACACCAAGGAAATAAATGCAGAAATGTTTATATTTTCTTCCTTAAACAGGAGAAACATAAAAACAGGAAAGTACATAGAAATGACCAAATAAATTACAGACCAGAAGGATTTCCCCCATCCCATTCCCACTGTTGCAGAGCAGTCTTTTCCATTAACAGCTAAGTCAAAAGTATAGGCCACTGAACACAGAACTAGGCAATCCCTATAGGATGAGGCAAGTCTTGCTCAGGCTTTTATGGATGAGTGATGTGCTGTGAGGGYAGTATGTACCACAGCTCAAAAGCAATTTTGTAAAGAGTAAAACAAAATGCTTCCCTCYTTGCCTTGTGGTTGCCTACAAATGCTGCTTTTGCACCCTGCCAACAGGGCACTACATTAATTCACTTTGCAGCACTTCTGAAGAGACCGAGGTTCCTCTCTACTGCTGGCTAGAACTAAATGTGCAACTAAGTCACTGCTAATACTTTCTGGATATGCTGCTTCCCATTTCTAAAACACTTTAGGCAAAAGCCTGAAGAAGAAATAAACTAAAGGTGCTATCTGAAAACAGCACTAGCTAGGGACTTCTAGAGGATGTGATTTAATCTTCTCCATCCCTACCTACTAGGCAGGGAGAATGTTCTTTCTCACTTTCAGGTCCCAGCAGCACAGCTAATGTATTGAAGCACTGAAGGCTGACAGGGTCCATTGGCACCCTCTGGGAAGCGTAACCTCCACTGCGAGGCAAGCCTGGGATGGCTCCAGCTGCCATACAAAACTGAAGAGGAAGGCCCACGAGGGCATTTTCTCCTGGTCTACCCCTGCTGTCTGCTGGTGAAGATGACCAAGTTTTCAAGTAACTTGGGCCATTCCCTCTGCTGGCTGAAGGAAGAGAAAGCCGATGCCCACACTTGAACAGGTCATTCACCCAGGAAAGGGCAGCGATGCAAACACACCAACACATGAGAGCGAGTAGGTCACAGGTGAGCATGGACGCCTATGCTTTGCATGTGAAGCACCTAGTATGAAACAAGTTTTCTTTCTCCCGCAATCCCAGTTTTGCTTTGGAGATCAAGCTTCTGTACAATCATTTAAAAAATAAAATCCTTCTTCCAAATGCAGCTAGTTCTCAGCTCCAGTCTCCTCACTCAATCTCTCCTTCCAGATGTCCAGTCCACTCCTCCAGCGGTAGTTAACCCAACACCATGAGGTTCATTCYGGGCGCCATACAGGCCAACCAGTCTGCAGCAGCAGTGTTCAGATAGTGTAGWAGTTATCACAGTACAAATCCTTGTACTCAAGAGTCCTCGTTATCACAACTGCTCATCGACAGGATGGAGTAGATGGAGGCAACGACGGCGTTGTCATTGGCCGTGGCTAGGTTCGCCAACACACTCCATTTCTCTGCACACACAAACACACAGACAGAAGAATTAGCAGATGGCTGCTCTACCCAACACCTACTGCTGAACTACTAGCTCTCTTGGGGACTTAGAGCTGCCTATTGGCAGTTTACAACAGGTCTTTCAAACTGCACTGCCTATTTTTTGTTTCAGATTTCAGCTTAAAAACAAACAAAAATCCAAGTTTTAATTTCTACATGTCTTTTCTTGTTAAGATAGCACAGGTCCTCCACTAGTGCACAATTAGCTATGGAAGCAGCCGGCTAATACAGGGCCTGGCAGTCAGGCTGGGTGGAAGGAACAAAATGGAACAAGGTGGTTTCAAACAAGCAGTGTTTTGCTCAGGACACTCCCCAGGCTCATCACAACCTGCGTATAAAGACTGTATATTATCAGATGGTGTCTTCATACTGAAGTTCAGCATTTGACTGTGCTTCCCTACTGCTCCCCACATTACAGTTTCCTTTTCAGCCCATCTTACAGCTGGTTTCTTCTTAGGAATTCCTGTCTAACTGTACATATGGCTGCTTAATCCACATGGTTTCACTGMTGAATAAGACAACAGCAAGGGAGCAATTCATCCTTTTCCCTGAAGTGCATCAYGGTGAAGCTCCATGACTGCCCACTACCTGACGAGGCACTTCGCAGTGCTAAGGCACACTCCAGGTGTGCACAGTAAGCACAAGCAGTATCAGCTCTGCAGAGGTGGAAACCATCCACGAGGCAGTGCTGGACAGTCTCCGAGAAATGCAGCTTCTCCTGAGGGCAACAGATTGAACTGGCCATGCAGACAGCGCCACGTCAACCTGAACTCGTCATCTAGAGACGCCATTCTACGTTACCCTCAAAAAACTGGAACATTTACAGAGCATTTCATTAGGAAGGACTTTACAAGGCTTGATTTTGCAAATAAAAGATCACGCGCTCACCTCTATAAAGGGGAAAACAACAGAATTATTTAAGGGAATTCAGTAATTTAACTTTTTAAGGAGGGTGGTAGGGAAAAACTACTTTTCAGCACCTATATACCACTGGAAGAGCTCTAGAAACAAATTTGCAAGAGGAAATAAATAGGAATACCCCATACTCAAATATAAAATATTCCTATAAAAATAGGAATTCTATTTTTTTACAGGAATATTTTAGATTCCTATAAAAATAGGAATTTGCTCAGAGTCTTTACAGTCATGCAGTCATTTACCTACAACTAGGCAAGACATAATGTGTCAGAGCCAGAGTGGGAATTCAACAACAGCTCATAATAGAGATCAAGGAACAGTTCAGCCATACACTTAACATGACAGATCAATGTTCCCTTCAGAGATCTCCTAGGTATACCTAACACAGAGAATTCAGAGTTTCTCATTAGGCCCTGCTCTTCTAAGCTTTCTTACTATTGATGGAGTCAGCAGTTTAATCAATCAGAAGGCATTAGGTAAATTTTTAAAGGCCCAAGCTGTTCAGTTTGACTTTTCTTTAGAGATCTCTTCAAAACAGTATAAACTTCAGTAATAATTAAGTCATCCCACTAGACTGTGGAATTCATACAAAAGCCTTTGTCCAGACTTTTTAGTAATTTAAATTTATTGTATAGTTAAGCTAGTTGTACATTATTCCCTAAAATATTTCCCATTCTTAACTCCCGAWGAATCCCCCAATAACAGATATTGAGCCTCATATACAAATACGAGGTCATTTTCTAATACTATTTTTGCATTCCYTGAGCATCTCCTTAGCATATAGGTGCCAAAGAAACTTCTATAAAATAAAGGGAAAGAGAGATTGTACTCATCATGCCACATCCACCCACCTCTCACCTTTCCGCTCTCTGATAAGGGCAAGGCGGCGGTCTTTCATTTCTGCATCCAGCTTTTCCACCATCCTGTCAATGCAGTTGTCTAGCACCAGAGAGCGTGTCTTCGACTGGATCTCCTGCCTGCAGATCGGGCACTCCACTTTCCGCTTTGTCCACTCGTTGATGCAGTAGGAGCAGAAGCTGTGCGCGCAGTTCAGCGTGACTGCCTGCAAAAGCCAAGGGAGGGATATTCATCCAAGCACGCCCGCGCTAGCACTGCTCTGAAAACACAACGAAGCCAGGAAAGTGGCAGGACACTTCCCAAATGGGAAAGGAAGCAACTGCAGTTAGGGCAGGGGGACCAAAACCTCTTCCCTTAGCCTACCTAAGAGACAAAAGCCTCTTTAGGCTTCCTAGGAGCCTTCCATGGCTATAAAGAACTAGAGAAATTAGAGTACAGGCAAATTTCACAGGCTGGCTAATTCATTCACCCAAGGCCACAGCAAGTTTGTGGTGAAGACRAGAAGAATACCATAAGCGTACCCAGTTTGAGACAGACAAACTATGGAAAAACATAGATACTGCAGAATAACATCTTAAATTACTGAGAAAACAAAATATAAACATGTCAATTTGTTCTTAAGTCAACAGAACAAAGCTATCATGAAATATGCTTCATTACATTAATTTCTACTAATCGAAACTGAAGTTCCAGCAAAATAGGAACAAAAATACATCAGGCACAGGCATAGTTGGCACAATCCTTTTGCAATCACACACAACGCTTCTAAAAACATTTCTCTTTTTCCAGAAACAGAATTCATCTGAACTACAGGAGCGGTTCAGAACTTGACTGAACGTTGCCTCTCTCTCCCCTTAATAACCCCTCCTCACGCACAGGCCAGAAGGGATCTAACCTCAGCCAGTCTAAGGCGAGGTATACTACAAAACTGCTTTTCCCAGAGGAGGCTATTGGCAACAACTCAGAGCAGCAGTTCAAAGTACATACTCAAACACTGCAAGCTCGCACATATCTCGGGAGTCAGCACTCATCTCTGTGTAGGGAAAGAGATTACAGCAGAGCTTGCTGCCCAGAAGGGGAGGTAGGGTAGAGGGAGTGCGATCCCAGGCCAGACCTAACCCACAGGTCACCTGCTCAGACTGTTAATTATCAAGCTAAAGAAATGAATTTGACTTTTGCTTTATCAGTGCTAACGAAAGGTTCTCAAGTTTCTTTTTTAGCAGCAAAGCCTAATGCTTGTTGAAACATACCTCGATAAAGTGCTCAGAACAGATTGTGCACTGTAGCTCGTTCTCCAACACATCATTCATCTGATTCAACACCTCCTCTTTTTGAGCTCTCACCTTTTCCTTCTCCTCCTAGAGGAAAAACACATGTGGTGACATATCGATGACTACTTAGTATGTTTTACCTAGCATAATTTGGAGGTTGAGGGACAAAGATAGTGTGAGGAAAAAAGCACATAACTGCAAGTCCTACCGTGTCCCCTCTGCATCCATTATACATGCAGATCTGAAACCCTGCTCCTCTTTGCAGTCACCCACTGCAGAGAGCTGACAAGCAAGTGCAGCAGCCGGTATCTAAGTTTCCCTTAGCCTAAGAGAGCTACAAATTGCACCATTTTTTTCAAAAGTTTCTTTCAAAAATCTTACAGGGATAAGATGCCAATAAGCACAAGAACAAAAGAGTAATTCATTTGATGTCTGATGCAAAAGCAGAACATCAAGTAGCCAAAATACCTTAAAAATAATAAACCCCTAAGAATTTAAAATGTTTCCTTTATGTTCCATTTATGTTTCTAATTGTTCCATTCAGCTCCGTAGTAAAATTTGTTGTTTGGGGTTAAGTTAGGCTTCTACAGACCTGCTCTGCCTTCTAAAAATAATGAAGAAATTCTTCCAACTGAAGCTACTTTTGAAACAACAACAGAGTTGCAAAGGAGACAAAATCCAAAGCAGACAGCCAGAGATGGGAAATGAGCTCATTTCCAAATGTAAGATACCGCAAAGCATCCCTTTAATTACACTTACTCATCACTTACAAGTGAAACCGAGAATTCAATTTTATTTCGTACCTTGGTTTCTTCCAGTTCTTTATTCTTGGCTTGAATTATCTCCTCAAAGTCTTTTTTACTACGGCTCAACTCTTCCATCAAAGCACGATGCTGTAATAATACCATCCAAAAAGAAAGTGATTATAAAGCTCTCCTATTAAAYTAACATAGCTTTAATTATGAAGCTCCACATACTCATTTCTGCTAATCCTCCTCTAAAAAGCCATCTATGCCTGTAGGAGTTGTTAGTTAGAGGTAGTTTAGCCCTCACTAAAGCAAGCAGTTATTTATGACCTTCCCAAAACCATGGCACTTAACACTCCCTCTCCCAGGTCATTCTTTCTCTGTGCATCGTTGGTAGCCTCCTTTTTTGTTATGCCTCAAAGGAAGCAGAAAGACCCACACTTCTACAAGACAAATTAATCAAGACATATATGCCGGACAGTCATGCATGAAGAGAAATAAAAGCATAAGAGCAGAGCAAACAAGCTCACACTGCTAAGGATAAAACTCATTATGGAACACAATCAAATCCGACAAGGAGTGGCACATCTGAGGCRCTGTCGATCTCAGTGCACAACTAACCCAGCTACCAGACAGTGGGGTAACYATATCTCTTACCAGCATTTTCAAATTCCCTAAGGATAATCAGGACAGGCTTACTGTATTTTGTGTACCTTTAATTAGAGTTGGAGCTGACAACACACCGCTATCTACCAGAAACACTAATAATTAGAAACTAGTTTAACAATTTGAGAGAATTTTTTTTTTAATTACAAGAAATTTGGAACTCACTTTCAGGACTTAAATAACATATGAGGTTTGAACTGACAACATCATCATACATAACCTCTCTCTGCCAAGATAACCTTATTTTCATGAGCATGCAAGGCATTTATAATGAAAAGAGGTAGATGTATCTGGGAACTCTGAAGATCCTCATCCTCAATCCCTCTGGAGATTATTCCTCATTAACACACACACTATGGCATTGCAGAAAATCTGCAATGAGGAAGCAGACAACAACTTCACATCCATCAGGGCCACTTGCAGAGGCACAAAAGGCGTTGGGATATAAGGACAACTTAAGAGCATTCTACCCAAACCTAGGACGTTCCAAGCACTACCCATCCTGCAACCTCTGCCTCACCTTCCCGTCCATGCTTGTCCTGACCCTCTTTCTTCCTAGCACTATCCTTCATTTCCTCCTTCTCTTTTTTAAGCTCCGCTCCCCAACTGCTGGTTTTGAAGACACTGGCTGCTATTGCTATGTTTTGGCTGTGTGAATTCTYTCATCTTGACACATTTACCTCAGTTTGAAACATCTCAAAATAAGGCTTGGGCTGTTGACATTGCATAACACAACACATTTGCAAAAATTAGCTACTTATTATTCTAGACATTTAGTACAAACCTTCCAATATCAATAATTAGCTAAGTGTGGCACTTAACCCAACTTTCAGAGCTTGTCCTAACAGGTCACTGTGCTTCAAGACATGTTAAAAGGTCAGGCCAGCATCTGCAATTTATTTTGTTTTTCACTCATGTTTTATTGTCACCCTCTTGAGTGCATCTGACACACTTGAGTAACGAGGGGTATTTGATGCATATCTACCACAAAAACCTGTCACTGTGTGCAGAATGGCAATTCCCAAGAAGGGAGTCCTGCTACTTCCTAGCAGAAATCTGCTCTGCAGATGAAAACCACTCCAGTTTGCAACTAAGGCACATTCCTAGTCTTCTGCTAGGACGGCAGAGCAGCAGGAAAGAGTTGTATTTCAGCTACACACGCACACCAAGCCTAGCCTTGTAAGTACTTGCCTCCTGCAGGACCTGGGCCAGTTGCTCCTCCAGATTTTCTTCCCCGTGTTGCCACTTAACTCCCTGGAGAAAATAAATASAGATTTCTTTTGCTGGAAGAAAAATTTTAATTGGAAAAAAAAAATGCTTGCACAAGACTTTGGATTACGCTCTCTTTTTAGAGGATATACACAAAGAAACACCACCAGCGTACAGTGAATTCTAATAAATCCCACTCTGGTCCTCCACACGTTCCACAGGAATTAGGGRTATCATTTATTGCAATGAATCAAAATGACAGCTTTGTCATTCAGAATTGCACCCTTGGAATACCTCCAAATGAATTCTGGCTCTAACACCTATGTTCAGAGGAGCAGAGGTCAGCAAGAGCTTAACCACGAGAAAAAGCAGCAACACCATCTATGAGCACAACGGGGTAAGATAAACCAGAGCTCCCCTTGTGYTCTAGTACGCCACTCCAGGCGTGCCACAGACATCCACCTTCCCCTAAAGAGCAGGTTTCAATAGAAGCAATTGATAACTCCAAGATAAACCCACTTCAAAATGAAATCCTCACTACTTTTAAACTGTTCTGAATAAATTTAAATAGAAATATACACTCGTATTTTTTTCTCCCAAAGATTTAGTTACCACTTGTGCTCAAAGACACTGACAGATTGTAAACGAGGGGGCTTAAAGAAAAAAAAGAAAAAAAAAAAGGAAAAAACTCCTTTCCCTAAGCAATGCAAATGAAAAGATTAAGCATATAGCAGTTCCCTGAGAAGTCAGAAGCTGACAAGTTTTGCACCTTTGTCCTGATCAGTTGTGCAGCCCAGTCCTTCCTGTTTCTGCACATTCTTTTGGTGCATATGCTTGGAAGAAAAAAAAAAAAAAAAAAAAACCACCAACCACACACACTATAATGGCTTTAACAGGAACAATTCACGTGAACACTATTCAATACATTACTGTAGTGTTCAATAAGTCATTTCGGATCAAAGCCTTATGTTAGTGATTCCATTAAAAATAAAAAAAATAAAAATAAAAAACAGAACACAGACTGAAAAGAGTATTACCACAATACCTCTAGTTTCTGCTGCTCTTTACAGAATACCTTCTGCAGCTCTTCCATGTGCTGCTGATTCTGCTCTTGCTCCAGGCACAACCGGTCCTGCAGCTCCTGCAGCTCCTGTTCCATTGCCAGGATCTCCTTYTGAGCGCACTTCCTGCGCCTCTGCTTCACGCTCTGAACCTCCTGCTGCTTCTCCTGCAGTTTGACTTTCAGCCTCATTATATCTACCAGAGTTTTCCTCAGCATTTCCAAGCCAGTCCAAGACTGTGCAAGGCTAGAGCCTTTCTGGTCCCTATGGGTGGCAGGTAGAGCCTTCTCAGAGTGCACSGGGTCCCTGTGCTCCTCGCTTGGCTCAGGAGCGGGGAGCTTGAGATCCGTCTTCTGTGTTACCTGTTTGGCCTGCTCTACCCTTTCCCGTGATTTCCCTGCAAGTTCACTGTCACAAGACACTCTGTCTCTTTTGCATCTGGAATCCGAAGGGCCTTCTGATCCAGATATTTCAGACTCTTCCACACTATATTTACGTTTAGTTCTTGGACTCTTAGTTTTCCCCAAGTCATTTCTTTGGGCTAGGAAGGGTTTGATTTTCTCCCATTCATCTTTGATTACTTCATACTCATACTCAGCAGCCTCTCTGTTCTCCAAAGGCACTCCTAGCTGGATGCGGTCTCCTTCAGCTATAGGATAGGCTTTTAAGGGATCCAGGCGCTGTTTATTAAGCCAGACTCCATTTAAACTCTACAAATGGACAGAAACCAACAAGAATCAACAWACAGTTATACAGAACCTTCAACATTTTTTTTCCTGGATGCTGTAAACATATCCCATCTCCTTAGTGCGGCAATCAGAATAAAACACCTCTTTAAATACATCTTGCAATATCCAATTTGTTGACAGTGTCCCATTTCTCACAGTCACTACATGATTTACTATGTATTACAACTACAGCGCAGATTTTTTCATGTCACCAAYAAGAACCAGAGGAACGCAAGCAGTTGCACAGAAATAAAAGAATAAACTCTAAGGGGAAAAAAAAAAAGAAAACCACCTACCCAAAGGCTTCTAAAAGTATTACCTAAACAACAGAGAAGACTCCACAATAGATCGTGAGTATAGAATACTGCAGTAATTATCCTTGGCAATTGACATTAGCCAAAAAATCAAAAAGAGACTAAAAAAAATGGAACACAGCTTTCACTACATACATAATAAATACTTAAAAAAAAAAAAGGGGGGAGAGGAATGAATGAAACAGTGCTCCATAAGCATGGAATGTGAAGAAAAAAAAAAAAGAAGAAAAAAGGTGTTCTGCATGCAATGTTCAAAGCAGAAAAGAAGTTGTTACACTAGGCATTAACAGAAAAAACAGCTTCAAAATAAACAATAAAATTGAGCTATGCTCAAGACGAACTACAGAGATAYTAGCAAACAACACATCCCAAATACATTCCACAGGACAACATGGTAAAATCGTAGCCGTGATAACTCAGAAACATTCAGAGTTAACCTACCAGACGTGTTTCCAACCACGTAAAACCTGAACGTTTCAAACGTCTACTGGAACAGACCCCCACTTAAGAGCGGTGTAACTGTGTAATTCTAACAGTAGCCTCTTTACTGCTTCTGGGCTTATATACTGTTGATCCAAAGTGCTTTAAAGGCTAGATGACTCATGCAACATTAACTGTTTTTTTCAATGTTGTTCTCMAAAAACTTCCTGTGCCTTAATCTAATTTTATTTTTTAACAGTTTTCTGCATGAATGAGAAAGTGGAAATAAACAATGCTATAAAAATCAGATAACTTCCATYTTGACTTTACTAGTTATCTGAGGACTCTTGATCTCACTGCTTGGCTATAATCAGCTGAGAAGAAATTCCAAAGGAAAGTCCTTTGACTGCACTGCATGGTTTTTCTAACATTAGATTCTCATGATAATTGCTGTCAACATTCCTTTTCTTTCTTTTTTCTTTTCCAAGAACGTAACACAAAGCAGGTTCACRGAAGGCAAAATGTCCTGGGCAAGACTGTAGTCAGCTGAAAGCCATTAGACCAAGAGATAAATTTCCATACAGAAAGCAATGAGCTCTGCATCCCCATTGCAACAGACCAAAGCCTCCTGCTACAAGGCTCAAAGGGCCTTATATCATTTTTATATTCATAATCTGTCATATCACTGTATGGAATTCAAACAARGCATTCTCTTTCATCCATCTCAGAATACAAAGTCTCCAAGCCATCTCTGTACCTTGTTATCCTTAACAGTCCACTGTCCTTCTGCATTTTGCTGAAAAACGCAGTGTTTACGAGAGATCATCAAGGGACAGGTTTTTGACACCAGTTGGTAGGTGAGATCTAATCCTCGGCCTACAGATACCTAAAAATAAAGTAGTTTAGTAATTGCAAACAGCAACAACACAGTAAATTCAGCCTTTATGACGTGTATTTAAGTATAGAAGAAATCCTTCTTTTATAGCTGCTTCCCTATAGAGTTAGGATAACACGATGATCTACCAAAGTTCTTCACAAACCTCCTACGTTTTTTCATTTAAATTCAAGTCGACAGAAAATATGAGACCTTTGAAGAAGACAGAAGTATTCTCATTCCTTTCCCTTGAGGAACGTTTGTCAGCTCTCAGGTAGATTTTAGCCTCGGGTTTCACAGAAATTTTTCTCAAGAGTAAAGCTGGTTAAAACAGTTCTCACTCCATCCCTCCCCTCTCACATTTGTTATCTAATGAAACACCATTTCTTCAAAAAAAGTACAATTACTTGTTGGTCTCACAGAGAAACAAACTGCTCTTCTTCCATGATTTGCATCTGTTCAACTGCTGTAAACAGAAGCAGGAAAAAAGCAGCCTTGAAATCTGCAACCCAGAACGTGCCCACGTAACCACGCTCTCAGCTTCCAACACTTCTGTAGATCACACCATCCGTCTCAGGCCTTCGAAACTTAGCCACGTGCCAACCATAACCAACAGAGAAGGTGACCTACATAACCTGATTTGATTTCACAGCGTCTTCTGGAAGAACAATGGACAGAAATCGTAATGGCAGCTTCACCATAATTTATTTAAAAGTAGATCCATTTAAAGGATCTGCTCACCCTCTCCCCTCTGCCTTCTTTGCCCAATCTGATAGTCAAGCACCCATTTTTTACTCATTTGCATGCTGCAGGGAAGTAATTCATTTTAAAAGGACAGCTGTGGGTGCCATGTAGCCAGAAAAGTGCATGAATCCAAAGCAAAAGATGCAACATGAACAGGCAGCCAGAAAGAGCATGGCAATAAACCATTTACCAGGAGCCCACACTTAAATCCCACTAGGCCTAATATAAAAGTTCTCTCTGGCTTATATGTGTTTTAGATGAAGACTACTACCCTTCTCCCCTGCAATTCCAACTCAGCTACACCACCTTCCAATTCCTACAAGATGATAACAAGATCCTGCAATCCAGGAAAGTTCATTTGCTGCATTTATTACCTGAAACAGTCCAATCCTTTTTAAAGCAAAGACTCAAACTCTCACATCCTAACAAAATGCAGGGAAGCAAACCACGATGAAAGCAAGATAAACCATCAGCTCTCTTCTTCTTAGGTGCTTAATAGCTGCTAACACTCTGTCAACACGGGTCACTTTAGCGAGATGAAGGTGACTCTCTATCCCCACCTTCCCCTCTACTCCAGGCAGGYCCCTTCATGGGAGTAGGAGCTCCAGGCGGATTCACTTACACCCTTTGCTCTGCTTTGCTCCTACTCGTGCCCGGTCGCGCAGACCGTGGGCCCGAAGCGCCGACGCAAGCCCGGGAGCGCAGAGCCGGCCACGGAGCTTCCTTCTCCCTGTCAAAGCCCTCGGCACGAGCAGCCTTGGGCACAGAGCGACGGAGCACGGGGCGGCCCAACGTTTATCTTGCTGCTTTYGGCCACCAGACCTGCAGCCCTCCTGCAGCACCCAATCCTCAACGAGGTCGTTTGCTGTGCAAGCTTGGGGATAAAACAGCCTCTTTGGGCTTTGTGATGAGAAAAGGAATACACGCTATCAGAAGAAAGACCTATCCTGAAGCCATTGGAAAYGTAACCAAAATGGCTGAGAGCGCCGGCCTCGCTTACACCCCAATACCGCTACTGGCGACCGCCAGCGAGGCTGCGCGCTGCTGAGCTCGCCGGGCAGCACGGCAGCGACTCGGCTGCGGAGCCCGGGCTTCCTCTCCGCCCCAGCAGCAGCGGCGCCCCAGCAGCTCCGCTCCGCTCGGCTCCGCTCCGCTCGGCTCGGCTCCGCTCGGCTCGGCTCGGCTCCGCTCCGCTCGGCTCCGCTCGGCTCCGCTCGGCTCGCGCAGGCCAGCACGGCCGGGCGCATCCGCCGAGGCCCCGGCGCGCCCGGGGAGGCGGCGCCCTGCCCGCGGCCCCGAGCGGCGCCCCGAGCGCGAGCCGCGCGGCCTGCGCCTCCCGCGGGGCGAGCCCGGGGCAAGGAGGCACAAACGGGCAGCTCCCCAACGGCAACAACCGCCGCCCAGCCAAGAGCCGCCGCCCCCCCGCCATAACCGCTCCCCGCCCCGGCGCATTAACGCGCAGCAAGGCCCGGGCGCGGCGGGGCCGCTCCGGGCGGCGGGGCTACCTCGGTGCCGGCCTCCAGCAGGAGCCACTCGCCGCTGGCGCCCACGCGCCGCAGGCACCAGGCCAGGCGCGAGGCCCCGCGCGCCGCCATGGCGCCCTCCCGCCGCCGCCGCCGCCGCGGCAGGCAGG